TGTGTCTTGTCCACTGGGGAGGCCGGGGTGTGCACGCGGTAGATGAAAGCCTGAATGTGTCTGATGGGATTGGTCTGTGAGCGCCTGCAGGGGTGGGCTTCAGGTGTGTTGGACAGTGCAATGAGTGACTCTCAAAGAAGCAGAAAGCTTTCACCAGTCTGGGGGTATCTGGCAAGAGATTATGGCACTGCTCAGGCAGTTGTTGCTCTGGTGTTTTCCTTGGGCAAGGTTTAATTTAGCAGAAGAGCTTTCCCTAAGAGAGTGTCCCAGGCAGTGTTTTCTTTCTGGTTTCTAGCTTGAAGCCATTAGTGTTGATTGTATAAAGGGTTTCTTTATGATTGCTGTTGAGGTAAAGAGTTTTTAAAATCCTTTCTGATGCTTTGAATATTGTGGCTAAATCTAGATATAGCAGGCACAGGTGACAACCCTCTGTTGCTTTCTAATCAAGGTGAGAACATTGTGGGTGAAGACTGTGGATGGAATTCCAGGCTTGAGCATTTATTGTTAAAGACTAATGATTCCCTGTGTTTCCTAGGAGGAGCAGTTGGTGGATTGATTGGATGGCTCACCTCTGAAGATTTCAAGTCCGTCCCTGAGATTTTAATGGAACTGCCTGCTGCTGAGAAGCAAAAACTCTGTGCTAAAACCATGGCTGTTGTCATGAACTTAAATTGGACTGATTCTCATCACCTGATTGATCTTGTAGTATCAAAACGTGCTCTTATGGAGCAGGTTTTAGGTGTGCTGACCACTTACCTTACCAAGGAGCTAAAAGCAAAAGTAAGGTATGGCAACTAATCCTCTACAGAGCAGGATTTTTATGCTGGAATACATTGTACTCCACTTTCTGTGAATCTTCAGTGCAACAGTTACTAGTTATCAGTACTAATTATAAATATATGCTTATCCATGTATACTTGGGTGTTTTAAAATTTTTATCATTATTGTTATTTTTGATTTGTATGGCATTGTAAGGATACTATTAGAATACTGCATTAAACTGATACTGACTGGCTATGAAATTTTGGATTGCTCTGCATTAGGACTAATTCAAATTGCTGAAGGGAATCATGCTGCTCTTAAGCTAATGTGTCACTTGTGAAAATTTTCAAAGTCCTTTTGTTGTATTTAGGAGACCTGATTCTTTTAAGTGATTTTAAGTGGTGCCTTTTTTTTTTTTTTTCCCCTTGTGAATGACATGTAAGGTGCCGAAGTAGCTGGGGTTTTTTGAAGACTTTTACCTGTTTGTTTTTCTCTTGCAAATGGAAGTTTTTTAAGGAAGTACATTACTGTGAACTCAAAAGACTCAATCAGTTCTTTGCTTGTCTCTTTTTTATTGTAATTCCTGAGTTATCTTTCCTATAAGAAGTGAAGCAAATACTTCAACAAGATTTCAAGAGTTGATTTCTGGATTGAGTCTGTACAGCAGGTCCTCTCTTTCCATTAAAATGTTCACAAGAAGCCTCACAGTGATCTGTGTGTTGCTTTAAA